TGATACCCCTTGCACTGAGGCTCCTCGATAAATTTGATGACCATATATCCTCCAAGTTACTGAGAGTTTCCCTGGGCCAGGCCACTTGATGAGGAAGGTAGTCCCAAAGGATTTACCAGGCTCCATGGTGTATCCTACTTCGGAGTCGAGAAAATAATGGTTGCTTTGTTGCAGATCAAGGAATGGGATTTCAACGCAACTGACCAAGATGGAAACACGGTATTGGGGTGGGCTGTGAGACAATGGAATGAGGGAGTTGTAATTATACTCTTGAACCGGAGCGATATCAATCTTGGCATGGCAGATAATTCCGGCCAAACACCCCTTTCATGGTGTTCTGATTATGGATGGGAGGGAGTTGTGCAGATGCTTTTAGGCTGGGGTGATGTCAATCCCGACATGGCAGATAATTCTGGCCGGACACCACTTTCGTGGGCAACAGGTGGATGTTTGAGTGAAGGTACTGTGGAGATACTATTAGAACGGAGCCATGTCGGTCTCGACATGGCAGATAATAGTGGCCAAACACCGCTTTCGTGGGCTGCCAGTAAATGTGGGAATGGCGATGCTGTGAAGATGCTATTGGACCGGAGCGATATCGATCCCGACATGGCAGATAATAATAGCTGAACACCACTTTTGTGGGCTGGTGAATATGGGAGCGATGATGTGAAGATACCATTAGAACGAAGGGATGTCGATCCCGGCATGGCAGATAATCGTGGCCGAACACCCCTTTCATGGGCAGCTTATTGTTGGTGCGCGGGAGTTGTAAAGATCCTCTTGAACCAGAGCGATATTAACCCAAACATGGAAGATAATTCTGGCCGAACACCGCTCGGGCGGGCTGCTGAAAGAGGCAGTAAGGATGTCCACCAGATTCTATCAGAACGACACAACGCCAATCCAATATGTACAGTTGGTGAAGAACCCGATGTCCCTCCAACCAATCTTCCCGAGCTCTCCAAGCCCCCCTCCAAACGCACCCGCCGGTCTTGATCTTCACCTACAAAATTGATAGTCACCCTTTTACATTTTGTGAATCTCCCTTGTTCATTAAGGCATTTCTTTCCACACTTTCATTCCTATCTGCCTCTTTAGATCTAGATTTCTGCCTCTCATTTGTCCTCTTACTTTGTTGTGCCCACTATCCCTGAGAGTTGATAACGTTGCAATCACTGCCTCGGTGATTCCGATTAGGTGATGGGTGGTAAGGCCTTGGTCCCTCACGATTTTTACAGACAACAG